TTGCAGTGAGCCGAGATCACATTACTGCACTCCAGCCTGGATGACAGAGTCAATAAATAAATAAAATATATGTAGAATTAAAATGCATAACAATAGTAGCATATGGGACAGAAAGGAGGTTAATGGACTTCTAAGGTCCTTGTATTATCCTGGAAGTGGCAGCAGTTATAATTAAACTTTAATGAGTCAGGGAAACAAAGACTAGTAAAAGGATGTATATTAAGCTAATAGAAGGGGAAATAGAGGAATAATTAAAAAAAAAATCCAAAGGAAGTTAGGAGAGAAGAAAAGAACAGAACAGGTGGGCAAGCATGTCCACAGAACAGGTGGACAAATAAGTATGATGGCAGATTTAACCAGAGTTTTTAGTAATGACATTGAATATACATTATTTAAATATTCCAAATAAAAAAAAGTTTACCAACTGGATTAAATACAATGTTGCTTGTGTGCAAGACTGTGTGTGTGTGTGTGTGTGTGTGTGTGTGTGTATGTGTGTGTATATAGATATATATGAAACACACACAACGAGCCGAGATCATGCCATTGCACTCCAGCCTGGGTGTCAGGGGTAAAATCTTGTCTCAAAAACAAAAAAACAAAGCTACAGCTAGAAAGTTTCTACGTGTTTGAAAATTAACTAGTGTATTTCTAAATAATCCACAGATTGAAAAAGAATAAAAGGATAAAATACAGAATGTCTACATTTGTGAGATATGGCTAAAACTGTGCTTAAAGGGAATTTTATAGTTCCAAAAGCCTATATTAGAAGAGAGCTAAATATTGCTGATCTAAAACTTAGAAAAAGATTAGCAAATTAAACCTGAGAAGTTAAAAGGAAGGAAATACTGAAGAGCAGAATATAATGAAGTAGAAAACAAACATGACGTTGAGTAGGGAAACCAGAAGCTGGTTTTGGAAAAGTCTAACAAATAAAAAATTCATAAGTCCTTGACGAAAAATGAGAGAAGATAGCAAAAACCAGTATTAGGAATAAAAAGGAGGATTGCTACAGATCTTACATTAAAATGATTTTTGGAGGATATTTTGAAAAATTTTATGCTTATAATTTTCAAAACATTGGAGAAATTTACAGAAAGTACAGTGTAACAAAATGGACACAAGGAGGAATTAAAAATGTGAATATTCTTATATTATCATGTAAGTTTCTTGTAATTGAAAGGAAAACTCCACATCCAGATGGCTTCACTGTTGAACTCTTCCAAGCATTTGAGGAAGAAGTAAGATCATACTTGCATATACTTTCCCAGGGAACAGAAAAGGGGGAATACTTTCTAACTTGCTTTTTGAGGCCAGGCAGCCTTGATACCAAAACTGTACAAGAACACCAAACGAAAGGACAATTTCAAGCCAGTCTTTCTCAAATATAGGTGCAAAAGTCTGAAACAAAATATGCCAAATCCAGCAACATAAAAAAAGATAATACAACCAAGTTGGGTTTCTCAGGAATGGAAGATTGTTTAAAAATTCAAAAATCTGACCAGGTGCTGTGCCTCATGCCTGTAATCCCAGCACTTTGGGAGGCAGATGGATCATTTGAGGTCAGGAGTTTGATTAGCCTGGGCAGCATGGTGAAATGCCATCTTCTCTGCAAGCTCTTCCTTCTACCTATCCTTTAAATGATGTTCCTTAGGGCATTCTGTAGGCCTTCTGCTTCTTCTTTACTCCATGGTTTCATTGTTTATTATGTTCTCATAACTTCTAAACACATTGCTCCAGCTCTGTTTGTGACACTTGAAACCATGTTTGTTTGTCTATTGGACATCTCTACTCACATGTCTTACAGGTATCTCAAACTCAGCATATTAACTGAACTCTCTCCATATCCCCTAAATCTGTTTCTCCTTGGGAAGGTAAATGGCTCAGTAAATGACACCAGCATTCACCCTTGGAGTTTTTAGTTTGTTGACCAGCTTCTCTGTACTACCCTCTGTCCCCAAGATTTAAACTCTCTAAGGATAGAAATCTATTATGCTTTATCCAACAGTGAATTTAATAATCCTTAGAATAAGACTTGGCATATAGTAGGGGCTCAGTTTATATTTTGTCAAATGCATCTTCCCCTCCTCCATATTCATTTTTGGTTTCTGAACTCTGTTAGTTTTTATCTCCTACAGTCCATTCATTCCTTGTTGTGCCTGTAGCCCCTTACCTACCTAAGACTACCATCTATTACCTTGACTACCATGAAGGGACCAAGGGATGAGTGGATGGCTGCAATTTGCAAGAAGAAGTATGGGATTAGGACGTATTTACATTGCTGGTAAAATGTCTAAGATGCAGCATGTAAACCTTTACCTTTTTCCTTAAAGGACACAACTGAATTAGACTTAACTACATGGTTTGCCACCCCATGATAATTAACTTTCTTTTATGGCCAGTTACCACAATCATCAGTGTGAGTTCATCTATTCTGAGAGTGAGGGGGAAGGTGGATTGGATGTAAAGGATAATAGAAGATCTGTCTGTTGCTATTCCATTTTTTTAATGACATTCTCACCCCCATTCTGCTGAGGGCCACTCACTTTGACTTTTCAGATATACAGTGGTGCTCTGTCCCTCCAGAGCTTCCTAATCTACTTGGCTCAAGAGGCTCCCAGTTCGGTATTGTCAATTGAGCTTGTTAATCTGACCTTTGTGCTTTTTGTATAAGATAGTGCTATTCTTGGCTTCCTGTGTATTATAAGACAGTTTTGAAAATCCCAGGTTATCTGTTTGGATTGTTTGAATTGGTATTTCTTTTTTTTTTTTTTTTTTAATAGATGAGACATCTTTATTACTTAATCTTTTAAACAGTCACTTGACTATCAAATTCTGAAATGTTTGTCTTTTCTTTCCCCACTCTGATGTACAAGCTTGTTGTAAAAATAATGTAGAAACATTTATGTCAATCTAAGTCTGTGAAATATGACCAACTCGTACATACTCTTAAGGGGACGGCAGTCCTGTCCCTTCAAGCTCAATGAAGGCAACAGCCAGGTCCTTCTGAGTCCTGGTACACGTGCCTAGAACTTAACATTTGGTATTTATAGTTCTTTTTTTTTTTTTTTTTTAAAGAGATGGGGTCTCGATATGTTGCCCAGGCTGGAGTGCAGTGGCTATTCACAGGCACGATTCCACTACTGATCAGCACGGGAGTTTTGACCTGTTCCATTTCCAACCTGGGCTGGTTCACCCCTCCTTAGGCAACCTGGTGGTCCCCCACTCCCCGGAGGTCACCATATTGATGCCAAACTTAGTGCAGACACCCAATCGGCATAGCGCATTACAGCCCAGAACTCCTGGACTCAAGTGATCCTCCCACCTCAGCCTCCCAAGTAGCTGGGACTCCAGGCAAGCACCACCGTGCCCAGCTATAGTTCTTGGTTTACAGACGGATCTGACGGCAAGAAACTATTACTTCCTCCTCTTTCCTCCTGGACACTGTCTTTCTTTTCTCTTGCCACCAAAGCCAGGTGGCCCCCATTCATCTTGCCTCCCAAGCCTCCTTTCCTTTTCCCTCCCTGGCTTGATGGGCCCCATTTCCTCTTGCCCCCAGGACCCTGCTGGCCTCCCTTTCTCTTGCCCTTCTGGCTCATTTTCTTCCTGGTCCTCCACCCTCATCTGCTTATTGGTGGCCCTTGTCACATCCAGCTGAGGCTTCCTGCTGTTCATCACATGAAGCAGCTCCAACTGGTTCTTTTTCTCTGCTGCAAAGTCCCCGAAAAGGGTTGAAAATTCCTCTTGTTGCTGGAGCCCCAGGGCACCTTCTCCTTGGGGAGGTGCTCCTGGAAGTGCCCCACAGAGGCTGTGGAGACCTTGGCCACTTGCATGGCGTGGCCCAGCTCCTCCTTACCCTGGTGTCTGGTAAGGTGCAAACCGACTGCGCTGGGCAGCTGTGTCTTGTGCAGGCGGGCCAAGTTACGCAGCCAGTTCAGTTCGTTTTTGGCCACCCCTTCCTTCGGCCTGAATCCGCTTGGCGAACTAGACCTCCGAGGGGTTGGCATTGCTGGGCACCTCAATCAGCCATTCCTTGGTGTCGTCCTGGGCACTCTGGTGGCCCCACCGCTGCTGCCGCTGGCCGCTTACCTCGTCTCACACCAGGTTGGTGGTCTTCTTGGGACAGATGCCCTTGAGGCATGCGAACTGGCTGCCAGCGTGTAAGTGGCTGCAGCCAGGGTAGGGGCTTCTCTCTCGGCAGGTGTGTGGTGGGCTCGGGCAGCTGCGCCACTGTCATCTCTTCCATGTGCTCCGTGGGCAGCTACCACAGCCTGTTGGTGAACAGCTGCATGTTGTCCCATGCCGGGGCCCGCACCTCAGCCTCCAGTGTGGGTCCGGGGCACCGCAGCCCTGTCAGGGGGTTCCGGTCGAAGCTAGCAGGTTGTCCAGGTCAAACTCCACTTCCAGCTCCTTGTACACCGTGATGCGCTGCAACTTCTCTGCCTCGTCCTGCTGAGCCTTTGCCAGCACGTCCTCCACACTCTGACTCTCCATGGCTCCGGCTTGGTTCACTAGCTTTGGGGCCATGGCTAAAGTTACTTTTCCTATCTGAATTGGTATTTCTTAACACATTTCATGCTGATGAATCAAAATATTCCTGGGGAAGTAGGAATTAAAAAGGAAGGCAAGAGTCCTAAGATTTTTTTAATCCCTAGATTTGAATTAAATGTTTGCCTTTTCTCATCCATACTTTCTGGTTTGAATGTCAACTGTGTTGGGCCATATGTGTTCATGTATGGGACATTTCGTTGTTAGCAAGATTTTACAAATACCACTGTGTGAAATTATCATACTTAGTTCTACATTTATCTGAACAAACTTGTTTCATCGCCCGCCCCACATGATTAAGCACTAGGAGAGCAGGAGCCTTGTCTGTTTTGTTCTTCAGTACCTCGCCTCAGAGTAAACATTTGATAAACAGTTGACTCAGAGTCACACATCTTTTTGGGGATTTGCATGGTTTTCTTTCTTACAGTATTCTCATCTTTTTTCCCCCCAAGCACTGGAGAGGGGTCTCCTGAAAACCCTGCAGAAACTGGATGAATATCTGAATTCTCCTCTCCCTGATGAAATTGATGAAAATAGTATGGAGGACATTAAGTTTTCTACACGTAAATTTCTGGATGGCAATGAAATGACATTAGCTGATTGCAACCTGCTGCCCAAACTGCATATTGTCAAGGTGGGTTTGTAGGGTGTGATGTTACATTGCCATTACCTTGTATTTACTAAGGTGGCATTACCTTTATGCTTAAAACATTTCTGATCTTATATATGACTAGCCGTTTAACTCAATGCTGTTTAAGCAATAGTTAAAACACCCTAGAGTTAGGTGGAAAATTATGTCTTAAAATTTAGGAAAAGAGAAAGATGAATATTTTTTTTTCTGTGACTGCATAAAAATTCAAAGATGTAATGCATGACTTTGAATTGGAGTTTGCCACACTGACTTCTGTTGTCAAATTCTGTGATCACGTCTGGCTTTCTCTATTCAAAGCAAAAAGTGTTGAGCATTTATTATATGAGACACGGGTGGGCACATTGTTAAATAGAATAACAATAAGCACTAGTTGTAAATAAAGACCTAAGATAAGAAAAGCAGATCTAAAATAGTGTATGTGTGTTGTGAAGTATTTCCCAGTGATTACTCTTGGCTGTCTTTCACGGTGTCCAAGGCAGTTATTTGCAGTCACTTTCACACTTCTAAACACCTGGTGTAGCTTGCAATCTTGGTCATTATTTAAAACCCTAGTTAGAATAATGGCAACAGGCTTCTTTTCAAATAGAAGCAGTTCTCAAAGATTTACAGCGTTAATTATTTGCTTGCTCTAAAATCAGAGACATGTCTAGTTCACAAGACATGGAAAATAAGTCTTTAACTTTCGATCTCTTTGTATTTCAGGTGGTGGCCAAAAAATATCGCAACTTTGATATTCCAAAAGAAATGACTGGCATCTGGAGATATCTAACTAATGCATACAGTAGGGATGAGTTCACCAATACCTGTCCCAGTGATAAGGAGGTTGAAATAGCATATAGTGATGTAGCCAAAAGACTCACCAAGTAAAATTGCATTTATGAAAGAGGTGTCTTCATGTCTTCCCCTAAGAATATGCTTTTCCTAACAGGCTACTCCTCTTCCTATAGAGCAGAAATTGTATTTTGCACGAACATGCAGTTATTGAAGATTAGGATCAAGGATAGACCAGGTATAGTAGTTATTGTAAAATATATACTCCTAAGCAGTATTATTTTAAAATCCTTTTATCCTGCCTACCTCCCCTACCCAGGTTCCCCTCATTTTAATTTGGAGACACTCCACCACAAACTTTTCACTTTAGAGAGGTAGTTTGCCATCTCTCAAGAGCCCTCACCATTGTGTCCATTTACTGTGTATAGATGGCAGAACTTTGAGGTGCAATGTTTAATTGTTAAAGTAGTAGCCACCACTTTATCAGGCAGCCCCAAACTGGTGTATAATGCATGGTACAAGGAATATTTATGTATTTTTTGGAGTTTTATAATATTTAGTAAGAGTATATGAAAGGATTGCTACTGTATCAGAAATATTGTTTCAATTTAGTCTATCCTGGATGTATACTAAAGAATATTACCATCAGAGAAGACAGCTTTCTGCAAAAGTCACTACAGATTTGGCTATATTGCTTTGTAGATAGATTTTTACTTTTGCCTAAAAGCATTTATCCTTCATACCAATTGTAACGTTTGACACCATGTAGAAGCTAAAAGTTTAGAGGGAGGGAGGGTTTTCTCAAGACCTTCCTCAAGCATTTTATGTTTATAAGAGGAACCGATGGGCACCTGATACATATTCTGTCTAAATATGTTTGTTACATGTGTTTTGCCCTGTGCCGTTCATTTGGAACATTATTGCTTTCTTCCTTGATTTTAAAAAGCTTGTTTTTAGGTAATCATAGAGCTTGCTATTAGTACATCTTTTGAGCAACACTACATAAACTGACATTTAGTTGATTTAGCTATAGCAGTACAGTGATTAGTAATGTAAAAATTAACACAGAAATTAACCTAAGGAATGCATACAGTAGGGATGAGTTTACCATCCCTACTCACCCAGTAGGGTGGGTTTGTCAAAATAACAAGTAAATTTTTGTTTCTAAAGCACATTTAATGTAGGTGATCTAAACACATAATCCATTCTATGTAAAAAAAGAAAAGATAAAACACAGATCACCAGCTTTCTCATTTCACTCCATTTACCTTGTAGAGAGGATTGTTCATTCCTTTTGGACTAAGTTATAGTAATGATGAGTGTATATTTACTGCAGCTTTGCCTGATCTCACTCATTGTACTTCCTTGAGTTAAATATTTCTACAGCCATGTTGAGGAATAGCACTCTTCCATGTTTTTGTTTTTTTTTATTGTTTTTTTGTTTTTTAAAATTGAAGCCCTAAACCAGGAATTATTTGTACTCTAACAAGGGCGGATGAACTTGCTAAAAATAAAACTTTGCCATGTATTTACTCTTTTTAAAAAGACAAAAACAAAACCAGACTTTCTAAGTACTGCTCTGAAGAATGTGATTGTGACTATAATACAATTTTTGATAAATTTTTATGCCTAACTTGTATAGGAAATGCTATTTCTCATAGGCTGTTTTTTGAAATTTTAAGTTTATTGCTTTAAAATGACAGTGTTTCCCCCCTCCTCCACTTTGATATGCGAACATTTAGTAAGCCCACTGACTTTATGGAAGCAGCTTTTTATAAGTGTACCGCATTTTTTTGAAGTAATTAGCTTAGTACAGAAAGATAAGAAAATCTCCATGTTGTATCCATTTGGCTCAGGGAGATTCTTTGCCTTACCTTTCTTAGAACTCTTTATTGTTGATCAAAAGTTTGAGCACCCACTTTTTTTTTTGGTAATTAAATATTGTATGATGATTTATCTGGTTCAAGGAAGTAGCACTGTATAGTTATCTATTGAGAAATTATTTTGCAGTGGTTTTAGTGGGTGAAAGTGTCCCATCTGCACCAGGACACAGGTAGGCATTACCACTCTTCACCTACTTTTTAAATAGTGGCAACTTGGCATTCATTCAGGTGATACTGAACCTTGCCTCATAGCTTAAAGTGTGAAAAAGATTCAAGCAAAGTGAGGTTTGTTCTTTCCAGTGAATGGTGGACCAACTGGTGCAGGGCAGAGGGCTAACAGAGGAAAGAGCTCTATTCTTTAAAATAGAGTGATGAAAATTCATTCTGAAATTCAAAATATTTTCATTTTGGAGTTCTCTTGTTTTTCTTAACCCAGTGACACTTTGCGATCCCTCTAAATGTTCGAAGAAGGCATGTCTATTGTGATTTTGATGAAGACAGAATTATTTTTCTCTGTAGAAAGACAGATACTACTTTTTCAGGGAAGTTAGTAAAATGAAATGGAAATTAGTAAATGGACAAAAGCTAGCTAGTAAAAAGGAGGATCCAACAACATGCTTTAACCCCATTGTATGTTTGGAAAGAGCATAGTTTAAAATCTTGAGAAATTTGGGGCATGAAAGTTTTCATGGTAGACAGTTCATGCAATATATTAATTGACATATTAATAACTGTCTACCATATTCATGGTAGACAGATCATGCAATATATAATTGACAGTTCATGCAATATATGAATTGACATATAATCTAATCTTATTTTTACGAATAAAAAATCCATTCCCCTTCATTTAGACCCCTTTTGTGTTTTACTTCAATGAAGAGATTAGAGTCTCAATGGAAAGTCAAGGGATTCTGAGAAATTTTTGTATTCAACAATGGAAAGCTCTCTTCTAGTTGATAAAACTTCCCTTTTTTGATGTAGATGCGGATTTTCTATACAGTTCTATTGTCTTACTAGGACTGTTAATTTTTGTGATAAAATTCAAGTAAGATTTTATTTCTTGGTAATTTTCGCTTTTACAATTTATCTTTAAATCTTTGAGCAATCTGTACACAATGGAGAGATTTCTGATACTACATGGATCAACTCTAGGATTTAGGCTTGTTAACTTTACTTCTGTTGTGTTTTGAATCTCTCCAGAGTTGCATGTAGATAACGTTTATTTCTGTGAACTTAAACTCATTTAGAAAATGTCTACAAAGTAAAAATGGAGAGGAAATAGAAATGTATTTTTTCATGAACATTTTTGATACAAATTTCATCATTTAATGATTCATCAATTTCTTACATTAATTTGAATTAAGTATTTAATGCAAAGAGAGGGGAGCATTCATTATTGATATATGTGGGCTTTTAAAAACTCCATCCTTTATAAATAGTCAAGGTTTGGGCCACACAAATTATATTTTTATCATGGAAAAATTTAAACTCCTCAAGCCATAATATTGAATAGAATTGGATTATTTTCTTTAGAATTTCTTGAACAGGCAAATGAAAGCTTATTATAGAATGCATGTGTTTTCTTTCCTCTTTGGAACATCAACAGCAGTATATTGCTGGCAGCTATTGTATTAAAAAAATAAAGTATATTTTCACTATCATAAAGGATTCTTTTTTCCCCCTCTCATAAAAATAAATAACAACTTGGGGTAAAAGTGTTTTGAGATTACTTTTTTTTTCAATGGGTGATTCAGCATGTTTAATAGGTTAAAAGAGAAAAACCATAGGATCATTTAAATAGGTTCAGAAAATAACTTGAGTAAAATACTCACGTTACTCATTCTTAGCAAAATAGGACCAGAGGTAACTTTTTTTTTCTTTTAAGATGAGTTTCACTCTTGTTGCCCAGGCTGGGGTGCAATGGCACGATCTTGGCTCACTGCAGCCTCCACCTCCCGGATTCAAGCAATTCTCCTGCCTCATTCCCCTGAGTAGCTAGGATTACAGGCATGCACCAGCAGCCTGGCTAATTTTCTATTTTTAGTAGAGGCGAGGTTTCTCCATGTTGGTCAGGTTGGTCTCAAACTCCTGACCTCAGGTGATCTTTCCACTTTGGCCTCCCAAAGTGCTGGGATTACAGATGTGAGCCACTGTGCCTAGCCTTTTTTTTTTTTTTTTTAAACTTGATAAAGACTTTCATTGAGAACCTATAGCAAATGAAACAGAAGCAATCTCATTAAAGTCAAGAATAAGACAAGATTGCCCTCTATCACAGCTGCTATCCAGCTACTTTCACAGCTACTTTATTTAGAGATATCCTAGTAAATGCAGTAACATCAGTGAAAGGAATAAGGAACGGAAAAGCAGCAGCAAAATGACTGCCCTTTGCAGGTGATGTTGATGATGGTGGTGGTGGTTGTATATAAAATCCAAAATAACTTACAAACATTAAAAATAATTCAGCTGGATTTCTAGTTACAAGATTGAGGAATAAAATTTAATATAACTGCAATATACAAATAGTAACCACATTAAAAACTAATAGAGAAATTGGTAACATTGTTTTCTTCTGGAGGAGAATTGGGTGTCAGAGGTAAATGGGTGGGAAATTATCAGTGTATACTTTTAAGTTTTTAGAAATTGGTAAATATGTTACCTATTCTAATAAACAAAAAGTGCTTTAAAAAGTTCCTAAGCAATTTAGAATCAAATTAAACAATGTGCAATTCCTAGCCAACCATGGTGGCTCATACCTGTAATCCCAGCACTTAGCGAGGTCAAGGTGGGAGGATTACATGAGGCCGGGCATTCAAGACCAGTCTGGGCAACATAGCAAGACCCTGTCTCTACAGAAAAAAAAAAAAAAAAGCCAAGTGTGGTGGCATGAGTCTATAGTCCTAGGAGGCTGGGGAAGGAGGATCTCTTGAGCCAAGGAGTTTGAGGCTGCAGTGAACTATGATTGTGCCACTGCACTCCAGCCTGGGTGACAGAGCAAGACCCTGTATCTTTTTTTTTTAAGTGCAATTCTTTAGGAGAAAAGTACAAGACATTATTGAAAGGCCTACAGAAATTTAGGATAGACATACCATATTCATGGATGGAGAACTCAAAAGCATGAAAATTTAAATTCTGACTATAATTATAGTTTTCAACAAGTTCCTAACAGGTGTTTTTGGAAACTAGATAAACAGATTCAAAAATGTATGTGGAAGAGTTATGCCCCCCAAATAGCCAACATATATCTGAAGATGGGAAAAGAAAAGAGAACTTGTCTGACAAGATATGAAGACTTATTAAAAACTTACATTAATCGATGGATAGGATATAGGTCACAGCAACACAATACTGCTGCAACAACCATAAAAAACTATTAAAACACCAAAATAGGCTGGGCCCGGTGGCTCACACATGTGATTCCAGCACTCCAGGAGGCCGAGGCATGGGAAGATCATGAGGTCAGGAGTTCAAGAGCAGCCTGGTTAACATGATGAAACCCCGTTTCTACTAAAAATACAAAAAATTAGCCGGGTATGGTGGTGGACACCTGTAATCCCAGCTACTTGAGAGACTGAGGCAGGAGAATTGCTTGAACCCAGGAGGCAGAGGTTCAGAGGTTGCAGTGAGCCAAGATCATGCCACTGCACTCTAGCGTAGGCAACAAGAGCAAAACTCCATCTCAAAAAATAATAAAAATAATATTTTAAACACTAGAATACTGTGCAGGCAACAAGGAGTAAAGGATTGGGGTTGGCCTGTGCAGCAGGGCTCTGTTGGAAAAAAAAGAAATTTGCAATGCTCTTGGTTATAGGGCATATTGGGAAACCTGAGACACCCCAAATACAGGACTGATTTTCTCATTGGACATTTGCTGAACTCTAGAGCTGCCCATTGCATGCTAAAAGCTAAGTGTAGGGCTTCTAAAAAGCTGAGCAAAACCCTCCACAGTCTCTCACTGCTTAGGAGATACATTTTCATTAGAAGGAAGGCCTGCCCAGAACATACAGAAAACATCTTCACTGGTCACCTGGCACTAAGTTGCTTGAGGCTGGGAATTGACTGCAAACAGGCAAGAGGAATCTTTATGGTGTAATGGCATTGTTCTAAAAATGGATTGTAAATAGTATAGTGTCTAGAAAATATGAAGAATTCTTACAACTTAACCCAATTAAAAAATTGGCAAAAAATTTTAACATTTCTCTAAAATAGATTTGCAAATAATAAGCACAAAGAAGTTTATCATTAGAGAAGTGCAAACAAAAACTACAATGAGATACCACTTCACACCCACTAGAATGGCCATAATCAAGAAGGTAGACAATAACGTGCCGTTAAGGATGTGGAGAAATGGGAAACTTCATACATTGCTAGTGGCAATGGGTGATGGTACAGTCTCGAAAACAGTTTGGCAGCTCCTCAAAAAGTTAAACGTAGAACCACTGTATGACCGAGCAATTCTACTTCTAAGTTTAGGAGGATTGAAAATGTCTACAGCTGTTATACATGAATGTTCATAGCAGTATTATTCATAATGGCCAAAAAAGTGGAAATAACTCAGATGTTCATCTAATGAATGGATAAACAAAATGCATATCCATACAATGGAATACTATTGAGCTTTAAAAAGAAAGTACATACTCTGTGAAGAAAGCCAGATCCCAGAGGCCACACACTGTATGATTCCACTTGTAAATGTCCAGAATAGACAAATCTATAGAGACAGTGGTTGCCAAGGGCTGAGAAGGAGAGAAACTGCCAGTGGGTGTGGGATTTCTTTTGGGGGTGATGAAAATGTTCTATAATTAGTGGGAATGGTTGCACAACTGTGACTATACAAAAAATGAATTGTACACTTTGTTAGCTTTATAGTATATAAACTACATCTCAAAAAAAAAGGGGCAATTTGTCCTAAAGTTATGGATATTTGATGTATTGACAGATTGTTTGGCAAAGTGATTTGGATTTCTTCCTTGTGTTTGAATTAAAATTCAATTTAAATATCCAAAATATATTATTAAAAAAGGAAAAGGGCTGGGGGCAGTAGCTCACGACTGTAATTGCAGCACTTTGGGAGGCTGAGGCAAGAGGATTGCTTGAGGCCAGGAGTTCAAGACCAGCCCGAGAAACATGACAAGACTCCGTCTTCAAAAAAAAATAAAAGTAGCTGGATGTGGTAGCATGTCCCCGTAGTTCTGGCTACTCAAGAGGCTAAGACAGGAGGGTCTGTTGGGCCCAGGAGGATGAGGCTGCAGTGAATCATGACTGTGCTTCTGTACTCCAGCCTGAGTGGTAGAGCGAGACTCTGTCTCAAAACCCTTAAAAAAACAGAAGAAAAATGAATCGTGTGGGTGCATGCTGAACTTTATAAATTTATTAAAAATCATTTAATTTTTTTCACCTAAAGTGGGTGAATTATATGGTTTGTAAATTACACCCCAGTAAAGCTGTTGTTTAAAAAGGGAGTTAAACACATTTGAAACCAAGAATTCATTAGATGGGTTTCATAGCAGAGTGGACACAGCAGACAATAGGAATAGTGCTTGAAGATAGGTCAGAAGCTATCCAAACTGAAGTGAAGAGAGTAAAAAGAATGCAAGATGCAAGACAACAAAAATAAGAACAGACATGTGGGACACAATCTAAACATGTGTAATTGGGGTCCCAGAAGGAAAGGGAATAAGACACAATAATATTTGATGAAATAATTTAATGAGAACTTTTCAAACTCAAGGAAAGACATCAACCCACAAATACATAAAGCTCAGTAGAGTCCATGTGAAATAAAAACAGAAACCACACCAAAAATAGCATAGTCAAACTGCTGAAAACCACAGACAGAAAAGTCCTAAAGATAGCCACAGAGAAATAGCACATAACCTTTGGAGAAATAACAATAAAACCCAGTGCCTGACTTTTTAGCAGGAACCTTGGCAGCCAGAAGCCAGAGGAATGAATCTGTAAAGTCTGGGTTGGTTTGGTTGGTTGGTTGGTTTTTGAGACGGAGTCTTGCACTGCCACCAGGGATGGAGTGCAGTGGCACGATCTCAGCTCACTGCAACCTCTGCCTCCAGGTTCAAGTGATTCTCCTGCCCCAGCCTCCCAAATAGCTGAGATTACAGGCACCCTCCACCACACCCAGCTAATTTTTTGTATTTCTGATAGAGATGGGATTTCACCATTTTGGCCAGGCTGGTCTCAAACTCCCAACCTTGTGATTCACCCACCTTGGCCTCTCAAAGTGCTGGGATTACAGGCATGAAGACACCACACCCGGCCAGAATTACTTCTTAGTATAAATATTCTCAACAATGAAGGCATAAGAAAGCATTTTCAGACAAAAGCTGAAAGAATTTGGCACCAGCACACATGCTACAAAAAAATACTAAAGGAAGTACTTCAGCCCAAAGGAAAATGACCCCAGATGGGAGTACAGAACCAAAAGAAGCGCGATGGAAAGGATAAATATGTACACAAATGTTAAAGCAAATTGACCATTTAAACAAAAGTAATTTTTTTTTTTTTTTTGGAGACATAGTCTCACTCTTGCCCAGGCTGGAGTGCAATGGCACGATCTCAGCTTTCTGCAACCTCCGCCTCCAAGGTTCAAAAGATTCTCATGCCTCAGCCTCCCAAGTAGCTGGGATTACTACTGCACCACCACACCCAGCTAATTTTTGTATTTTTAGTAGAGATGGAGTTTCATTGTATTGGCCAGGCT